CACTGTAAACGTTTTATGTGCCGGGGCGACTATATGGGACAGGAAAAACCAAACCCGTATAGTCGCCGGAATTATACGGGGCGGGTGCTTTTATAGCGTCGGCTGGAGATGCTCTAATACCAGAAACACAACATGAAAAATTGTGAAGATGGAAGTGGAAATTTAAGATGCTAACTTCTTTTAAATACTACAAAAATTGAAGGTCAAGGAATCTGCACGCCGTTCCATTGTTGAAATGGTTGGTTTGAAGTTCCTCACCGAGGGTGATAGCTCCAAATTTTACTTATGGTCAGATCGGACAACATCGACGTTTGAGCTTCGATTCTATCCTTAGAGCATTGTTTTAGAGCGTTCTGTGCTTTATCGGATCACATATCCGTCGACTAGTGGATTATGGTGCATGAAACCTATAGAGTCCGCTAGAAGTGTAGCGTGAAGGGGTTGTATGTAGATGACCTTATCTATCTACCTATCTATCTATCTATCTAGCGTGAGAAGGAGTATATTGTTAAAATAATAGAAAATAAAAGGCTTAGATGTAACATAAAATGATAGAAAATGACCGGCATAGATGTAACAGTACACAAGTTCAAAATTCGAAACAAAAATCCCACGTGTATATCCGGACATTTTATGTGCGTTCACAAGAATTCGGTAAAAAATGACGTTTTTTGTGGCTTGTATAAAAAAGATAATTTCTGATGCTTCATTCTCACTATTCACGAGGCATTTCTTTATCTTTTTTACACAAGCCACAAAAAACGTCGTTTTTCACCGAAACATTGTGAACGCACATAAAATGTCTAGATATACATGTGGAATTTTTGTTTCGAATTTTTCAACTTTTCGAAATGTGTATTTCGACAATGGGTGCATATGCACCTAGGAGCCAAAGGCAATTACCGCTACATGTAAGGATAATTTAAGCCATTTACGTTTCCATAAATGAGGCACACAAAGACCCGAATGTTACAATACCTATCTGCAAATAGTAAGACAATGCGTTTGCATGGGGCATATATCGACAATAATTCTTCAGAAGGTAGGTAGGGATCGGACACCACAAGGCCAACAAATAATAGGAATACAACTGACGGTCAACAAAATGCTAAATGGGTGTAAAAATAAAATCTCTACTCACAATCTAGCTAAGTATCCCATACACGTGAACGATGTTGTAGGAGAGGCAAAACAAAGATCAGCAAAGCAATACTGAACCTAAAAAATACACCAAACATTTTAGTTTATAACATATATATATATATATTCAGCTGAGAACGGCCAGTTAAGAATATGAGTTATCTTTTATGTAAATACATATTTGATAAACCTTTTTTATCCGGATAAAGGAACATGACTTTCTTTTATGTACAAAGTTTAGAATATTACTGTCATCTTTTCCCAACAATAGTGCATTTAATAAAAAGATTTCCTCCTTACTTGGGTTTTGATTCCTTGTGACTTCTAAGTTAGGGTGAGTATGAGTGAGAGAACATTTAACAGTTTTGAAGCATTCACTAGTAATTACGGTCACTCAGAAATAAAAACCACATGGATAATTTGAGTAAGTTGAGAAGGCATCGAAGCAAATGGATCAAGTTATGATATGACACTACTAAGCAAAACAAAATTTCAACATAGCCAAATGTGAATCGAAGAATGGAATGGACGACATGGTTCATCAAAGATAGATTTTCTCTGAAACCCCCTAAGTATTTGTGAAGATATATCAAGGGATGAGAAGGAGTGGAATTGGCAAAGTTTAAGAATACCATGATGCTTTTGATCTTTCACCATCACACATCAAATTATTGCCCATTGATAAATAAAAAATAGGGAAAAAGTGTACACCAGTAAACCAAGTTTTCTCAAGACAAAATTGTTGAATATTTACGAATATTAATATTAATGTAGCCACAAATAATGCAGAATAATGCTGACATAGAAAACAACATTATCACCCAACTAGTTTTAAAAATAGCAGTAATGTTCATCTGATCACGCGGTGCATGCCTGAGCAGTCAGCTCGCACTTGGCGGCAGTCGGCATTGCATCCTGCTGAGAAGCTCGAGGTTGCATGAACTCCACCCCCTTCCTTGTAGTCCTACTCCAAGGTCAGCGCCGCACAAGGTTGTTGGAACATTTATTTTAAATGACTACAGACAATTGATATCTTACATCTAATAATTATCAAGGATAATAGTTAGTCTTGAAAGACAACTCGATGAAGAACGATCAGTAAAAAGTAAAATTACATCAAATATAATATTAGGCTTCATCTTTGTCCAATTGATTTCCGTCCTTTGAAGATTGAAAAATTATACTGAACCAACAGTAATGAAAAGGATACCTAAAAAGGGACACGAGATCTAGAAGTCACTAAAAACACATCAGTTCGACCATGTGCCGGATTGTACAAACTCTGAAGGAGAAGGACCTACATTTACTATCGTCAATGGGGCTGGGAAAGGCAATAGTATGGCAAAAAGATGTGCATTGGCTTAAGTATATGGCCTTGTTGGTTGAGACCAATCCAATGATTTTGCTAAGCAGATTACGATTGAGTGTGGCCTGTTTCAAAGCAGCTAGCCTTTCTAATGTCTGTTTAGGTGCAAGACCTCCCATCCCTCGAACCGGGGGGACACATGGAACCTAATCGTGCAACCCTCGCTCCCCCGCGTTCGTGTTTTGGGTGGGCCACGTGTTTTTTTGTTCCTTGTTCTTTTTCCCTTAATTG